CGAAGGCCCGAGTTGAGGGGGGCGCATGCGTCCGCCACACCCTGCACAGCGCTTCGTGGCCCCATAGGGAACTCCACCGAAGGCCCCAGTGGGGGGGCGCATGCGTTTGCCACACCGAAAACAGCGCTTCGTGGCCCCATAAGGAGCTCCACCGAAGGCCCCAGTGGGTGGGGGCGCATGCGTCCGCCACACCCAGCACAGCGCTTCGTGGCCCCATAGGGAGCTCCACGGAAGGTCCCACTGGGGGGGCGCATGCGTCCGCCACACCCAGCACGGCGTTTCGTGGCCCCATATGGCGGTCCACCGAAGGTGAAGGGGGGCGCATACGTCCGCCACACACAGCACAGCGTTTCGTGGCCCCATCAGGAGCTCCACCGAAGGCCCCAGTGGGGGGGGCGCATGCGTCCGCCAAACCCAGCGCTTCGTGGCCCCATAGGGAGCTCCACCGGAGGCCCCAGTGGGGGGGGGAGGGGCGCATGGGCCCGCCACACCCAGCACAGCGTTTCGGGGCCCCATAGGGAGCCCCACCGAAGGTCCCAGTGGGGGGGGGCGCATGCGTCCGCCACACCCAGCACAGCGTTTCGTGGCCCCATAGGGAGCTCCACCGAAGGCCCCAGTGGAGGGGGGCGCACGCGTCCGCCACACCCAGCACAGCGTTTCGGGGCCCCATAGGGAGCAGCTCCACCGAAGGCCCCAGTGGGGGGGGGGGGGGGGCGCATGCGCCGGCCACTCTCAGCACAGCGCTTCGTGGCCCCATACGGGGTTCCCCCGAATGCGATACCAACAATTGCACATGGTTGGGTCCTTCGCCAGGCTAATTTGGCGGGGAGGTACAGGACAACGGGTAGGGCAGAACGAATTACTCACTGCGTGGAGCTCCCCATATGTGCATCTCATGTTTTATGTCATGCCGTGGTGAGCGTCTGTTCATGAGCGGTCGACTACAATAGCGCGTCCACGTGGGCGACCCGGCCGACGAAGACGAGTGACCCCTAATGCGAGTGATTGCGTATGAGTCAGAGTGAGCTTTGAGTACGGTTGAATGCGAGCCTCTTCCTCTTCATCCCCCCTCCTCAGCTGCCAGGCCTTTCCCTTGTCAGCCCGTGGTAGCTTTGGAGCTTCCCATATGTGCATATGTTTCAGGATAGTTGGCAGTGGGATATGTAAGACGAGCGCCCCCCCCCTCGCAGTCACTCCCTATGAATACATATATGTCCTGGACTTCGGAACAAACGTTTTGCTCGCGTCAAGGACTTTCGAGCAAAGCGCCCTCCTCCTCCTCCTCCTCCTCCTCCTGTTCCTCCGCCCCCTCCCTTCTCCTGCTCCTGCTCCTCCTCCTCATCCTCCTGCTCCCCCCCCCCTCCGCACCCCCATGCCCCTCCTCACGATCCCCCGCCTCCTCCTCCTCCTCCTCCTCCTCCTCCTGTTCCTCCTCCTCATCCTCGTTCCTGTCATTTCCCTCGCTCACGCCATCCTCCCCCTCGTCCTCAATCTCTTAGACATCCTCTTCATCCTTGTCGTCATCCTTCACCTCATCGTCCTGATCCCCTTGCTTCCTCCCCCTGTCCTCCTCCTCCTCCTCCTCCTCCTTCTCCTCTTCCTCCCCCTCTTCCTCCTCAACCCTGGTTCCCCAGGGCACGTTTCACCACTTTTGGAGGCGCAGCCCCGCCGGCGATGTTGGGCATGAAAACGAGCAAACCGCCTGAGACATCCCCACAAACCGACCGCGAACGAGCCCGTGCAACCACCCCTGGCGGCTCCCCTTAGGGGTGCTGAAACCAGCGCCCCGCCTGAGACATCCTCACAATCTGCTCTCCGAGCGAAGGATGTTGAGCCCAGAAACAGGCAAACCGCCTGAGACATCACCACAAAATGGCCGCGAACGAGCCCGCGGCCCCCCTTAGGGGTGCTGAAACCAGCGCCCCGCCTGAGACATCCTCACAATCTGCTCTCCAAGCGAAGGATGTTGAGCCCAGAAACAAGCAAACCGCCTGAGACATCCCCACAAAATGGCCGCGAACGAGCCCGTGCAAACACCCCTGGCGGCCCCCCTTAGGGGTGCTGAAACCAACGCCCCGCCTGAGACATCCTCACAATCTGCTCTCCAAGCGAAGGATGTTGAGCCCAGAAACAAGCAAACCGCCTGAGACATCCCCACAAAATGGCCGCGAACGAGCCCGTGCAAACACCCCTGGCGGCTCCCCTTAGGGGTGCTGAAACCAGCGCCCCGCTTGAGACATCCTCACAATCTGCTCTCCAAGCGAAGGATGTTGAGCCCAGAAACAAGCAAACCGCTTGAGACATCCCCACAAAATGGCCGCGAACGAGCCCGTGCAACCACCCCTGGCGGCTCCCCTTAGGGGTGCTGAAACCAGCGCCCCGCCGAGACATCCTCACAATCTGCTCTCCAAGCGAAGGATGTTGAGCCCGAAACAAGCAAACCGCCTGAGACATCCCCACAAAATGGCCGCGAACGAGCCCGTGCAAACACCCCTGGCGGCTCCCCTTCGGGGTGCTGAAACCAGCGCCCCGCCTGAGACATCCTCACAATCTGCTCTCCAAGCGAAGGATGTTGAGCCCAGAAACAGGCGAACCGCCTGAGACATCACCACAAAATGGCCGCGAACGAGCCCGTGCAAACACCCCCGGCGGCTCCCCTTAGGAGTGCTGAAACCAGCGCCCCGCTTGAGACATCCTCACAATCTGCTCTCCAAGCGAAGGATGTTGAGCCCAGAAACAAGCAAACCGCTTGAGACATCCCCACAAAATGGCCGCGAACGAGCCCGTGCAAACACCCCTCAATCTGCTCTCCAAGCGAAGGATGTTGAGCTCAGAAACAAGCAAACCGCCTGAGACATCCCCACAAAGTGGCCGCGAACGAGCCCGTGCAAACACCCCTGGCGGCTCCCCTTAGGAGTGCTGAAACCAGCGCCCCGCTTGAGACATCCTCCAAATCTGATGTGTGTTGAGTAAGTCTGAGTATGAGTAGGTCTGAGTATGAGTATGCCTGAGTAGGAGTAAGTCTGTGTATGAGTAAGTCTGTGTATGAGTAAGTCTGGGTATGAGTAGGTCTGTGTATGAGAAAGTCTGTGTATGTGTACGTCTGGATATGAGTAAGTCTGAGTATGACTAATACTGTGTATGAGTAAGTCTGGGTATGAGTGAGTCTGTGTATGAGTACGTCTGGGTGTGAGTAAGTGTGTGTATGAGTAAGTCTGTGTATGAGTATGTCTGAGTGTGAGTAAGTCTGAGTATGAGTAGGTCTGAGTATGAGTAAGTCTGAGTATGAGTAAGTCGGTGTATGAGTAAGTCTGAGTATGAGCAAGTCTGAGTATGAGTAAGTCCGACAGGAGGGGAGGAGGAAAGAGGAGGAGGGAGAAGGAGAGGGAGTAGGAGGCGTCCAAGTAATAACAAGAACCCCATCTTAGGATATGGGGAAAAACACAACGACAGGACACACAGCGCTTTAGGTCCAGCCCTGGTGGACGGCCCCGCGGGGTAGAGCAGAGCGAAAAACAGAACGAACACAGCAGGGAACACAGCGCTTACGGTCGACCCGCAGAGTAAGGATGGGCAACCTCCCCGAGGGTACCCTTGCATCCTTGCTTCCTGGGCCCATCCTTGGACACTTTCGTTGGCCGCGCCTCGCTCGAAAAGCTTCGAAGTGGGCTTCCGAGGCCCTTTGCATCCTTATCGCGCATCCTTACTCTGCGGGTTGACTGCAGGTCCAGCCCCGGAGGACGGCCCCAGGGGGGGGGGAGGGCCCTGCGAGGACCATCCCCCCCCCCCGGAAGGCCGAGGGCGGCCCACGGCCCGCCCACCGCCCGCCGCCTCCGCTTTTTTCCCCCCGGGCGCGAGGGCGGGGGGCCTGGGCCTGCGCCCTCCCCATGGGCGCCGCGGGGGTGGTGAGATCCCAGGCGCTCCCAGGCGCTCCCAGGCACGCTCCCAGGTGCCCCCAGGCACGCTCCCAGGCACTCCCAGGCACTCCCAGGCGCTCCCAGGCGCTCCCAGGCGCTCCCAGGCGCTCCCGGCACGCTCCCAGGCGCTCCCAAAGTCTCCAGGCACGCTCCCAGGCGCTCCCAGGCGGTGAAGGGGGTGATGTGGGCCTCTTGCTGCCTTGCTCGCGCGCTGCACGGCACGCGCGTGGGACACCGCAGCCTCTTGGCCCAGAGGAGGACCCAGCGCCCGAAGCGCGTCGCCAGCTAAAAGCGGGTTGCGATCGGCACTACTCAGAGCGTGAATTACCTACCCCGCTTTCGCTTCCAGGCAAAACCAAGCCATACCACGCGCCTCCTCGTCAAGCGGCCTGACCAGTACAGGCCGTAGTTTGGCATCGTTTGGTATCTCTTGGAAGCGAGGGTGGTCAAAAGCGAGGTAGGTTTGTTTCCCCCCTAACTACACCAAAAGGCGCCGCTCGGACGTGTGCACACTTCGCCTCGGCGAGGGGGGCCTCGAGGATCACCCTGTCCGGACACCCCTCGGGCAAGGAAAACAAATCAAGACGGGAGGCTTTTGCAGATCTTCTCCCAGGACAGCTCCTGCCACATCGACCCCTTCGGGCACTTGAAACAACCACGACTGGAGGCTTTTCCATAGATTCGGCCTCTGGAGACCCTCACTGGTCCTCGGGACCGTCAGAAAACGACTCAGGACGAGAAGCCGGTCCCGGGGAATGGGTCGAGACCTCTGAGGGTCGACGTTCTGAAAAATCATGACGTCGGGGGTGTGGGTGGCTCCTCTTGCAAATCAAACAGCGCGCACGACAACGACAACATTGCACGGGGATTGGACGTCCGAGCGATGCTACAGGGGAGGGCCCATGCCGAGAAGCACCCCGCTTGCCTCCAGGGTGCCCTGGGTTTCTTGGGTTTCAAGGGTTTTGCTGTAGGAAGCGTGACGTTCCCACACCAAGAATCAATCAGTGGACGTCCTGGGGCCTCAGGGTTGGGTTGCTTGTGGAAGGTTTCCTGTGGACTGGCCTCCGCTGTCAGCTCCGCGAGGTGCACAACGGCGAGGTCGGCAAGCTCGCGAAGGTGAACGCCGAGAAGGACAAGTGCGAGGCGCGGCCGCCGTCTGCGCCGCGCGGCCGCCGTCTGCGCCGCGGCCGCCCCCTCCCGCGCGGGCCCTCGCCGGCTGCGCCGCGGCCAGGGCGCCGCGAGGAGTCGGTCACGCCGCCACCGCAGCAGGCCTCCCAGAGTGGGCCCGAAAAACCTCCCGTCATGGCAAAAACACGACGGGAGGTTTTTCGCTCTGTGGGCTCTTTTGCAGTGCCTCGGGACCGTCGAAAGAACGACTCCAGAGGAGAAACCGGTCCCGGAGAATGACAGGGCTGGACGTAAACGCTGTTCTGCTGGACTTCGGCTGTGTTTTGTTTTTCGTTTTGGCAGGGAGGTACAGGATAACGCGTAGAGCAAAACGAACAACAAAACGAAAACAATACGGAAATCAGCGTTTAGGTCAAGCCTTGGGGAATGAGTCGAGACCTCTGGGGGTCGACGTTATGAACAAGTCATGACGTCGGGGGTCTGGGGAGTGACCCCTGGCCAGAGTGACCTCTCAATATTGCGGGGCCCCCTTTCACCGAACGCGGAGCGACGTAGCGGCGCATGCGCGCTTGGGTTTGGTCCCCCCGCTGCCCCCCAGAAAAGCTGCGCACCAAAGGCTTAGGTCGGGCATGTCCCCCTACGGGCCGATTTTCGATGACAATTATTACCATGGTCAAACAATGTTCAACTATGATCAAAACATAGCCCAAAAATCGCCCCCAGTCTATTTGTTTACTATATTTGAATATCCACTGTAGAGGGACATTCTGGACTTCACCAAAGGCCCCTCTTGCCCAGGGCCACTCTTGCGCCTAGCCGATCCGAGCAGATGGGGTCGGAGGATCTCGCCGCATCGCCAATGCATCGGCGATGCGGCTCGATGTGGAGCCCGATTTTCTCCACGCCGGCGTCGCTGATGCACCGCCGACGTCGCCAGTGCATCGCCGATGCATCCTCGATACATCGGTGGGAGGGTATCAGAGCTCCGAACCATCAGGGCGGGGTGTGGTCAGGGGGGATTACACAGCCGCGCCTCGGGGGCCAAACCGGAATTTCCCCAGACCGCAGTTATCCCTCATAACTCGGGCGTCCAACCCTCCCGAGTCATTGGGGCGGGGGGCAGTCAGGGGCAGCTGCGGGTTTGTGTCTCGGGGGCCCCAACCGGAGCCACCCCGAATCGCACTTCATCACGGGTAACTCGGGCGCCCGAGTCGGGGGGAAGGGGGAAGACCTCTTAGACGTACCCCTGCTTCTTAGGAGGCGCGGGCCCAGTCCGTAGATGCAGGGCCGGCGCGGTTCCAAGAAGGAGCCTCCCTCTGAGAAGGCTCCCCCCCCTCCCCCAGGCCCCCCTGTGCGCCACCACCTACCAACCCCACCCCAGCTCAACCCGAACGCTTCAATCTGCCCTCCATTTCCAGTGTGGGAGGGGTCGGGGAACACTGAAAAAACATCTGGAGCCCACGCCCCACCCTACATATCCTAAGGCCTCCGAGGGAGGGGGGAGGAGGAGGAGGAGGAGGAGGAGGAGGAGGAGGAGGAGGAGGAGGAGGAGGAGGAGGAGGAACAGGAGGAGGAGGAGGAGGAGGAGCAGGACGAGCAGGAGGAGGAGGAAGAGGAGGAGCAGGAGGAGGAACAAAAACACCTAACCCGAAAGTCGGGTCAAATTCGAGCCTTCGGGTCGGGTTGGGGTGGTCCGGTAGGTCGTCCGTGCGCGCCGCCGACGGGGCGCCGCGAGGAGGGTGCGGGGCGGGAGGTCGGCAGTCGGGGGGTCTCGGGGAGGGAAGCGTCGCGAAAAGGTCGCGACGGGCTGAATGTGTGTGGCATTGCGATGTTGTTCTTGTGATATTTTCGGCCTCTGGGGGCCCTCGCGGGGCCCCAGGGCTCCGGTGAGTAGGGGGTAATGAGTAGCGAGTAGTGAGTAATGAGTGGTTCGTAGCGAATAGTAAGTACTGATTCGTGAGATGTGAGTAGTGATGAGTGAGTAGTAGTGACTAGCGAGTGTCAGTTAGTGAGTAGTGAGGAGTGAGAAGATGTGACTAGTGAGGAGTGAGTAGGCAGAAGGGAGTAATGAGTAGGGAGTCGCGAGTGGTGAGTACTGCGTAGTGAGTAGTGAGTAGGAGTGGGGAGTAGCGATTATTAAGTAGTCAGTAGTAAGTAGCGAGTAGTGGGTAGTGAGTAGTGAGTATTCAGTAGTGGGTATCGGGTAGTGGGTACTAGTAGTGTGTAGTGAGTAGTGACTAGTGAGTCGTGAGTAGTTACTCATGGTGAATAGTGGGTAGTTGGTAGTGAGTAGTGAGCATTGAGTAGTGAGTAGTGGGTAGTGAGGAATGGGTTGTGAGTACTGAGCAGTGGGTAGTGCGTACTGAGTCCTGAGTAGTGAGTCCTGAGTAGTGGGCACTAAGTAGTGGCTTGGCGGGTTTTGCGCAATGACTAGTGAGTAGTGAATATTAAGCAGTGCGAAGCGAGTAGGGCATAGGGAGTAGTGCGTAATGAGTAGTGCGTAATGTGTTATGAGTAGTGCTGTTTAACAGTGTGTAGTGAGTGGTGAGTAGTGGAAAGGGGATAGTGAGTACTGGTGAGTAGTAGGGGGCAGTGAGTAGTGTGTTGTGTGTGTGGGCTACCGCGTAACGAGTAGTGAATAGGGAGTAGAGAGTAGCGAGAAGTGGGTAGTGAGTAGGGGGTAATGAATATATCGTCAGTAATAAGCCGTGCGTTGTGCGTAGCGAGAAGAGATTTCGTTGTGAGTTGTGCGTAGTGGGTGGTGGGTAGAGAGTATTGGTTCGTGTCGAGTGCGTACAGAGTAGTCCGTACTGAGTAGTGAATAGTGGGTAGTGAGTAGTGTGTAGTGAGTTGCCAGCAGCGGGTAGTGGGTAGTGAGTAGTTAATCGTGAATAGTGGGTTATGAGTAGTAAGGATGAGGGCGTAGGGAGTAGTGAGCAGGGAGTCGAGAGTAGTTAGTTGCGAGTAGTGTGTTGCAAGTAGTGAGTTGTGAATAGTGAGTGGTGTTTTGCGAGCTTTGAGTACAGAGTAGTGAGTGGAGAGCAGGGAGTAACGAGTACAGGGTACTGCGTTGCGAGTAGTGAGTAGTGAGTAGTTAGCAGTGAGTAGCTGGTAGGGAGTAGTGAGTAGAGAGTAGCGCGTAGTGAGTAGTCTATAGTCATTGGTGACGTGTGACTACCGGGTACCCAGTAGTGACGGCTGAGTAGTGAATATAGTTTTATTGATCGGTTTAGGATTGGGGTTAGGGATTAGGGTAGGGCTGAAGGGTTAGGGGTAGGGTCAGGGGTGGTAGGGGTCGGGATCTGGTGGAGTTAGTGTGCGACGTGGCGAAATGGGAGGAAGGGCGGTCCGAATTTTGATTCCCAAGGGAGGGAGGAGGGGGTGTCCCGAACCCCCCCCCTTGTCAAAGGGGGTGGAGGGAGGTTCGTCGACGACGGACCAGGACAGGGGGGGGTCCCGACGACGGACCGGGAAACGGGGGGGGGTTCGCGACGACAGACCGGGGAGAGGTGGGGGGGCTCGGACCCCTCCTCGCTTTGGGGGTTCCAGCGGCGCGCCCTCGAAGATAAACCAGTTCCGGGGAGTGCTTCTCAGCATCGGGCTCGACGAGCACTGACTCTTGCTCGTGGTGCCACCCTGGACGGCGCAGGTCCCGAAGCTGCACCAAAAGCTTGCGATCCTTCTTGCGCAGGCGCTCGCTCCTGGTTGTGCACAGCCTGACTGCCGCTGCCAGGGCTGGCAGGTGGCCCAGACTCCTCGTCAGTAGCAACCTCCTGCTCTTGCAGAGCGTGGGTCTCGACTGTCAGGGGCTCCAGGGCGGACTCGAAAGCGTAGGCCCCCTGCACGGACCAAGCTGGGGAACTGGGCTCCCCGAGTCTCTTGTCCTCCACGGTGGTGGTGAACCCGCTCTCTACTGCTCGTGATCCTGCTCCTCCACCTCTTTCTTCATGGCCCTGCAGCTGCGCCACCGCCGTTTCTTGAGATCACCCTTTGACGGTGCCGCCGTCTCCGCGGCAGCCGACGACCGCCAAGGAGGGGGAATTCATAGTCGGGCCCGGCCGATGTTGAATTTCCATCACCGCCTGGGTCAATTTCTCCTGCTGCGCCGCGATGTGGTCCATCTTCAGGTGTAGCACTGTTTGGTTCTTCCTCGCCGCCAATTCCCATGGGGTGGGAGCGCTCCCGCTTGAGGTTGGCGGACTCGTCGCCTGAGCTGGCGTCTCCCGGGCCAGCTGGGGCTCCTGGTCTGGCACCCGCGGCTCCCCCGCCAGCACCTTCTCCCTCCTCGGTGCTGGCGGCGGGGAGGGTGGCTTCACCGCCCCCTGGGGCTCCTCCGAGCGCGCCTGCGCCAGCAACTTTTTGTACTCCCGAAGTGCTAAAACGGACGGGTGGCAACAAGGCAAGACCTTGGAGGCCGAAGTTGGGACTTTTAGGGCGGAGGGCGACCACAGGGTCCCCCGAGAGGCTGGCCCGTGGAAGCGGCAGAGGACGGGCCGCAGTGGCAAGGACACAAGGGTACCCTAGAAAAGGCGCGCGTCTTTACTATGCGCGCTCACTGTACTCACTTCGTTTGAAGAAACAGCCAGGCCAATGAGTTTACATGGGCGAATTCGAAAAACCTGAACCCTGAGGCGTTTTCATGTCTTGGGGGCGCATTTGTTGTTTCCGCCGAGCGTCCGCCGGCGGAGGCGGCCTCGTTTTACTTCCGCCGCCTGTTCCCAGAATGCCACACACAGAATAGGCCGAGGGACACATTTACATACACACACACACATAAATAGACACGCATCCGAGAATTCCCTACATTGTAGCATATGTTCTGGATTTTCGCCTCCCCCCCCCCCCCACCTCCCATGTTTTCCCAGAGGGGGGAACGAGAGGAGATGCGGGGGGGGCAGTGGCCGAAGCGAAGCATCTGCGCAAAGGCGCAGCGGTGCCGGCATACACAAAGGTGGAGGAGGAGGAGGAGGAGGATGGAGAGGAGGAGGAGGAGGAGGAGAAGGAGGAGCAGGAGGAGGAGGAGGAGGACGACGACGACACGGAGGAGAAAGAAGAGGACGAGGGCGAGGACTGCGAGGGGGATGAGGAGGAGGAGGAGGATGAGGAAGAGGACGAGGTGGAGGAGGAGGAGGAGGAGGAGGAGGAGGAGGAGGAGGAGATAGCTGACGCTACAGCCGTTTCGGGTCAAAGCCTGGCCGACTTGGGGCGCGCAGAGGGAGAGCGAAGAGGAGGAGGGCGACGAGGAGGGCGGGGCGCGAGCACGCGTGGGTGGCGGCGCGGCGGCGCGCCCGCAGGTCCACCTCAGCGACGAGGTCCTGGCCAGGGAGAGCGAGGCGAGCCTCCCTCGTCCTGCTCCGCCTGCTCCCTTCACCCCTCCGCTCCTCCCTCCACCTCCTCGCAACTGCGTGCCTCCACCTCCCGCCGCCTCCTTGTCCGCGTCATGCTCCCTCCGCCTCGCCTCCTCCTCTTCTGCCTGCCCCTCCTCATGTGGAGGAGGGGGGAGGTGGCGGGGAGGGCGATGATGAAGAACACGGAAGGGTGCTCCTGGTTTATCTTGTCTCGTTTTCATCCTTTTCATACAGTCGTCCTCATTCGATTCGTCTGCTTTCTCTCTCTCTCTCATGTTCCTCCTGCTGCTCCTCTGGGCACCTCCATGAGGATTGACCGTCAGAAAACGTCTCAGCATCGAACGACTGGGATGAAAGGGGCCCCTTTTTTTCCACCAGAACCATGCCAAGGAGTTCCAGCTAAGCCTGATCTCACACGACGACATCGAATAAACAAATGCGGGGGCGTCGCTGGAGGGACCGCCAGGGGGGCCGGCGCCGGTCCAAGAAATCCGCGAGGATCTCCGCTCCGAACATGTATGTTCATATTTGGTGATCCTTCTTCGAAGCATGGATCGGCTGCGCGTAAATGCCAGTCGTTGAAAGTAGGTATTTTCGGACTCACAGGTCCCAAGCTACGTCAAGCGCCTTCCTGCTTCAAGGATCGATCTGCTCTTGCTGCGTTGTGCTATTCTCTGGGAGGGCCTGAGCCCAATCTACTTTATCCGCCTTCCTGCTTCGTGTTTGTACCTACTTCTTCCGACCGATGTGCGAGAGTGGCCCTTCTCTGGGTTGACCTTCTGGGCGGGTCCAGCCCCCCAGCACTGGGCGGGCGCGCTCGGGCCTGGCCCGCCCGCGGCCCCCTGCTGCCGCGCGCCAGAGGTCGCTCGTGCCTAGGGTCGCTGTTGTGCGTGTGGGCGGGTGGAGCTCGTCTTCCCTGGCCGTGCTGCGGGCCTGTGCGCGCCGATGGTGTCGTCGGCAGAGGTTGGCCGTGTCTCTGATTCCCGACGGCTGTTTTCTCCGGACGGGGCTCGACAGCCTCTTCCCCCCCGTTGAGGGTGGGACGCTCGGAATATCTGAAGATTCGCCGGAATGAATATATATATATATATATAGAAAGAGAGATATAGACACATACATGTTGATATACATATTGCAATGTACATGATCAATCGCGGAGGTTTTTTTGGAGATTCGCGGGACGATGCCTTGGAGATTGGAGACTCGCGGGAGTTCGCGGAAGATGTTCTGGAGACTCCGGGATGGTCTTGTGCGCCATATTAGCAACCCAGTCTAATTCTTGTGTTTAGTTTGGGGTATTCAACAATAGTCAAATAATCGTCTGGGGACGTGTTTGGGATTTTTTTTTAGTATGTTTGTAGATGTTTCTTTCACTCAAAATCCGCCTGTAACCCGACCTGGCTATAAGGTCACTTTTGCGTGTGGGCGGATGGATCTCCACGCCGTCGGACTTCGGGCAGCGGCCGTCCAGACTCGAGTCGGCTCGGCTGCGCGTGCTGCCCGGCCAGGACAAGGGGCACATCAAGGTGAAGGGCCTCAAGCACATCCTGCCCGTGGCAGCCACAGGAGGCCGCAAGGGGTATTCCTCCTCGCTCCTCCTCCCTCCTCCTCCTCCTCCTCCTCCTCCTCCTTCTCCTCCTCCTCCTCCTCCTCCTCCTCCTCCTCCTCCTCCTGGTGCAAACCCGACTTGTCGGCTGTGGGGCAGGCGAGGGCGGAGTATCAGGGGCAACGCTAGGGGGGGGGGGGGATAGTCGGCCCCCTTGCGCTTCTCGTCCCGCCCTTCCTCCCTCCCTCCCAGCCGCTATCGTCCTCTCACTCCTCCTCCTCGCCCTCGTCGAGGAGGGAGGCCAGGAGGAGAGGAGTGCGGAAGTGAGAGGGGACGAGGGCGAGGACTTCTCGCTGCTCCTCGCCCTCCCCAGTCTTTCTGTGCTGTTTTCCACAGCGTGGACGCCCGGAGGTCTGGACCCCTGGGACTGATTTCCCCAACCCTCCTGTGTTGGCTTCACAGGGCATTGTTGGCCCCAGCGCCTCCTCCTCCCGCCTCCCTTGGTCTGCGCAATTGTCGCCCCATTCGTGGGCTCCTGGGAGGGACGGCGGAGAAGCGCAGTTCGCGCATCGAGACGGGCCCTCGCAGCTCTTTGGGTTGTTGCGAACTGCGCAATTGTCGCCAATGTCGCGGGTTCCTTGCAGGCACGGCGGAGTAGCGGAGTACGCGCATCGAGACGGGACTTCGCAGCTCCCTGTGTGGTTGCGAAATGCGCAATTGTCGCCATTTTCGAGGGCTCCTTGGGCAATCACGGCGGAGTAGCGGAGTACGCTCGCAACGAGACGGGACCTCGCAGCTCCTTGGGTGGCTGTGATGTGGTCATTTGTCGCCTCTTCCGTGGACTCCTGGGAGGCACGGCGGAGTAGCGGAGTACGCGCATCGAGATTGGATTTCGCAGTTCTTTGGGTGGTTGCGAATTGCGCAATTGTCACCTCACTTGTGAGCTCCTGGGAGGGGCGGCGGAGTAGCGTAGTTCGCGCATCGAGACTGGACCTGGCCGCTCTTTGGGTGGTTGCGAATTGCGCAATTGTCGGCGATTTCCTGGGTTCCTGGGTAGAACGGCGGAGCAGCGGAGTACGCGCACCGAGGCGGGACTTCGCAGCTCCTTGGGTGGTTGTGATATGATCAGTTGACGCCCATCTAGTGGGCTCCTTGCAGGCACGGCGGAGTAGCGGAGTACGCGCATCGAGACGGGACCTCGCAGTTCCCTGGGTGGTTGCGAATTGCGCAATTGTGGCCCCATTCGTGGGCTCCTGGGGGGCACGGCGGAGTAGCGTAGTTCGCGCATCGAGACGGGACCTCGCAGCTCGCTGCGTGGTTGCGAATTCTTCACGCTTCGCGTATCCCCACCAGCCCATCTCAAAGCAGCAACTCTTGCGAAGCATGCCGACAGTCGTGTTTTTCAGGCTTGTTTCCGCCTGCCCCCGCATATCTCCCCTGTTCCTCCTTCCTCCCGCCTCCTTGTACATCCTCCCTGTGGTGGGAGCGGGAGAAGGACGAGGCGGAGGAGGAGGGAGAGAAAGTGCTCCTCGTAGTTTGAGTCGTTTGGGGTTTCTCGTCCTGGTGTGAGTCGTTCGGGCCATTCTTCCTGGTGTGAGTCGTTCGGGCTCTTCGTGGTGTGAGTCGTTCGGGCTCTTCGTCCTGGTGTGAGTCGTTCGGGCTTCTCGTGGTGTGAGTTGTTCGGGCCCCTCATCCTGGTGTGAGTCGTTCGGGCCCCTCCTCCTGGTGTGACTCGTTCGGGCTCCTCGTGGTGTGAGTCGTTCGGGGCCCTCGTCGTGGTGTGAGTCGTTCGGGCTCCTCGTGGTGTGAGTCGTTCGGGCGCCTCGTCCTGGTGTGAGTCGTTCGGGCCCCTCCTTCTGGTGTGAGTCGTTCGGGCTCTTCGTGGTGTGAGTCGTTCGGGCCCCTCGTCCTGGTGTGAGTCGTTCGGGCTCCTCGTGGCGTGAGGCGTTCGGGCACCTCGTCCCCTTTTGGGGCGTCTTGGGGGCCTCTTGGCGGCCCCAGGGGCTTCTAGGAGCGTCTTGGGTGCCTTGGGGGAGCCTCTTCGGGCCTCTTGGGAGCCTCTTGGAGGCCGTTTGGGGCGTCTTGGGGGCCTCTTGGCGGCCCCAGGGGCTTCCAGGAGCGTCTTGGGTGCCTCGGGGGAGCCTCTTGGGGCCTCTTGGGGGCCTCTTGGGGCCATCTTGGGGGCCTCTTGGATGCCTCTTGGGGGCCTCCTGGGGGCCTCTTGGGGCCATCTTGGGGCCTCTTGGTGCCTCCTGGGCGTTTCTTGGGGCCATCTTGGAGGAAATCGATCAAAGAAGAGGGGAGCTTTAATTAGCGCTGCCCCCTCAGAATGGCACAATGGGCCCAAAACCTTTCTGTAAAATCAATGATTTTGGCTGGAAAGAAGAGGGGAGCTTTAATTAGCGCTGCCCCCTCAGAAGGCCAACATGGGGCCCAAACCGTAGTAAAATCAATGATTTTGGCTTCAAAGTCTTTTGGGAGCCTCTTGGAGGCCTCTTGGGGCGTCTTCGGCGCCTCTTGGGGCCTCTTGGGGGCCTCTTGGGGGCATCTTGGGGGCCTCTTGGAGGCCTCTTGGGGGCCTCCTGGGGGCCTCTTGGGGCCATCTTGGGGCCTCTTGGTGCCTCCTGGGCGCTTCTGGGGGCCATCTTGGAGGAAATCGATCAAAGAAGAGGGGAGCTTTAATTTGCGCTGCCCCCTCAGAAGGGCAAAATGGGGCCAAAACCGTCGTAAAATCAATGATTTGGCCTTGCAAGAAGAGGTGAGCTTTAATGAGCGCTGCCCCCTCAGAAGGCCCAAATGCAGCTCGCTGCGTGGTTGCGAATTGCACAATTGTCTCCAATTTCGTGGGTTCTTGAGAAGCACGGCGGAGTAGCGGAGTACGCGCATCGAGACGGGACCTCCCAGCTCTTTGGGTGGTTGCGAACTGATCATTTGTCACCTCTTTCGCGGGTTCCTGGGAGGCACGGCGGAGTAGCGGAGCACGCGCATCCAGACGGGAATTCGCAGTTTTTTGGGTGGCTGCGAGCTGAGCTAATGTCGCCCATTTCGTGGGTTCCTTGGAGTCACGGCGGAGTAGCGTAGTTCGCGCATCGAGACGGGACCTCGCAGCTCCTTGGGCGGTTGCGAATTGAGCATTTGTCACCACTTCCGTGGGTTCCTGGGAGGCACGGCGGAGTTACGGAGTACGCGCGTCGAGACGGGACCTCGCAGCTCCCTGGGTGGTTGCGAGTTGAGCAATTGTCGCCACTCTCGTGGGTTCCTGGGGGGCACGGCGGAGTAGCGCAGTACGCACATCCAGTTGGACTTCGTAGTTCCCTGGGTGGCTGCGAACTGTGCAAGTGCCGCCCCTGTCGTGGGCTCCTGGGAGGCACGTCTGGTTGGGGTTACACGCGGAAGTCATGTCTTGTTACACGTTGTGTGGAGTTCCACGGGGAATTGAGTGTTTGTCGTTATTCTCGTTGGCGCGTTCCTCTCGTCACCGTTGCTGCAGCAACCAGTACTGCGCTCTTCTGGTTGCTTCTGCGCATTACGGCTCCTTCAACATGTTCGGTTGTATTGAGCGGTCTTGGGTATATCCGCTACGTGTTTAGAAAGGGTTGGGCACGTCTCGCGTAATTTTCAGCCCGAGTCGTTATTTGACAGCCCTGGTGCATCACACTGAGGGTGTCACGGATCGTTCCCGCTCTGCCCTCTTCGCTTTGGATGCACTTCCTGGTTAAATTGAGACTCGGCGGTGGTATATCTCTGGTCGAGAGCCGGCCTAATCTGACTCCATCCCGCCGAAGTCCGTTTAATCCCGCTTAATCCCGCTTAATATTGGGCTTAGTCTGGGCTGATCTGGCCCAGTGGCTTTTTCAATCTGGCGCAATAGCCCTCAGTCGGTCTTGCGAAGACCTCCAAGAGTTGCGTTCTAATCTTCGCCTCGCCGGACGGGGCTAGGATGAGGATAGATCCGTTCCAGGGCGTCCCGGAACGCTCTCAGAGCGTTCTGGAACGCCCTGGGAAGGCCGCGGCGCCCGAGACATCCTCCAGAGCCGCCAGACCTTCGAGATTCTCGACTTATCCTCATCCGATGTTATCCTCGTCATGGCTTCGTCTTACCTCGCCCTCCTCCCGAAAGCCGGACCCGTGGGAGCCCGCACGCTGTGGTCGGCTGAGCCCCCTCTGGCGGCGCCAGAGGCGTCCGCCTCGGGGTCTCAGCGCGCCAGAGGCGCCGCGTCAGGAGTGCACGGGGTTTCATGCCTGCCGCAAGGAGGACAGGAGTGTGGAAAGAAGGCGGAGGAGGAGGAGGAGGAGGAGGAGGAGGAGGAGGAGGAGGAGGAGAAGGAGGAGGAAGAGAGAGAGAGAGAGAGAAAGACAATGAGGGATGGGGAGGGGCAGGAGGGAGAGGCCGAGGAGGAGGAGGAGGAGGCGGAGGGGGAGGGGGAGGTGGAGACGGAGGGGGACAAGGAGGATGAAGAGGAGGAGGAGGAGGACGACGAAGACGAGCATGAGGAGGAGGAGGAGGAGGAGGAGGAGGAGGAGGAGGAGGAGGAGGCGGATGAGGATGAGAATGAGGAGGAGGAGGAGGAGGAGGAGGGGGAGGAGGATGAGGAGGAGGATTAGAACAAGCCCCCCCCGAACGCCGGAACGGCTGGGAGGACCTCTGGGCGCCGGCACGCCCGTGGTCGCCGCGCCGCGCCGCAGAGAGCGCCGCCCGCCGCCCTCTTTGCCGAGCTGCCGCCGCCGCCGCTGCTCTCCCTGCGCTCGCGGGCGCCAGCCCGTCGACGACAACAGACGGCGACGAAGGTGACGACGGCGACGACGACGACGGCGGCGACAACGACGACGACGGCGATGACGACGACGACGGCGGCGGCGACGACGACGACGACGACGATGACAACGGCGACGGCGGCGGCGGCGACGACGGCGACGGCGATGGTGACGACGACGACGACGACGACGACGACGACGACGACGACGACGACGACGACGACGACGACGACGGCGACGACGACAACGACGACTGCGACGACGGCGACGACGGCGACGGCGACGACGACGGCGACGACGACGACGACCTCCGTCGGGCTGAGGAGGGCACGGCTCTTGTGAAGAGCTCGGCGGTAGTGTTATAGCAAGTCATGAAAGCCTGGTATGCCCTCGTAGCTCTGTCTCAAGGGTGCGTCAGCGTCTGTCCTCAAGAACCAGCCATGGGCGGCGAGCCTCGGGGGGCTGGGGGTAAGTGAGAAAGGGCGGGTCTTCCCGGGAGGCACAGAAGTCCCCAGGCCTTTTGAGAAGTTTTCGGTGCCTTCGCAAAATATTAAAATCTCTTAGAAGTCGCGAGGGCGTCTGAGAAGTCCCGCCACCTTCTGAGAGGGCCTTCTCCTTCTCACTTCCCCCCCGCGCTCGCAGCCGAGGGAGGCTCCCGCGAGTTGCCTCAGAAGCTGAACGTGTCGCTCCGCCGGTTCTGGCCCACCACGCTTCGGCACGACACGCTATCCGAATTCCATTTCCGGGCGTCAACGTGACGATCTGGCCCCAGCCTCCCGCCCGCAGAGAAACACGCTACCTGTGTGCAGGGCTTAGCGTGACGTGTTGCCAGGGCCGCCGCCGCGACACGCTAAGCAAGAGTTCTTGACCGTAGGCCTCCCAATTGGGTTCCGAGTACCCCGACCACCTCGATCATGACAAAAACACGACTGGAGGTTTTGCGCAATCTTCGGCCTTTGGAGGCCTTCGCCAGGTCCCGGGACTGTCAAAAACGACTCAGGGTGCAATTCTGGCCCCAGGGAATGAGTCCAGACCTCCGGGGGTTCATGTCATGAAAAACTGAAGACGTCGGAGGTCTGAGGAGACGGGGTCGGAGGATGCGCCGCATCGCCGATGCATCGCCGATGCGGCTCGATGTGGAGCCTGATTTGCTCCGCGCTGGCGTCACCGATGCACCGCCGACGTCGCCGATGTGTCGGCTGATGCCTGCGGACAGACCGGCCTCCCAGGCAGTCCGGGCCGGCCTCGGCAGGCTTCCCGGGGAGCCCCGGCCGGCCTCCACAGGCCCCCCCGAGCAGTCCCGGCTGGACTCCGCAGGCCCCCCGAGGAGCCCAGGGCGGTCTCAGCACCCCAACCCTGGGGGGCGCCGCCAGAGGTGGCGCTTGGGGGCTCCGTGGAGGAGGAGGAGGAGGAGGAGGAGGAGGAGGAGGAGGAGGAGGAGGAGGAGGGGGAGGAGGAGGAGGCTCGAGTCGCGCGCAGCCGTTGCCCGGCCGCCTCCCTCCCCACCCGCCCTCCCCACTTACCTTCCCCGCGCGTCGGGGACGGGGGGGACGACGACGACGCGGCCGCGGGTCCAGGCGCAGCAGCCGGCGGAGCCGCCGCGCAGCGCCGGCGCTGGGCGGGCTCCGAGTGAGGCCCCAGCGGGCTCGCCGCCCGGAGGCGGCGAGGAGGGAGGGGCGATCTCTGCGCCCACGTCCCGAAGCCTCGCCATGTGCGCCACGTGCCTGGGAGAAGTGCCGGCGCGCACTCCCCGGGTGCGGCGCGGGGGCCCTGGCGCTCGAGTGCACCACATCGGCTGCGTGGCAGCGCAGTGCGGACCGCCTGATGGTCTGGCGGGCTGGGCACTGCTTCGCATGGACAAGCGCGCGGAGGCGCAGGCAGTCTTCGATGCAGCAGAGGCCGCGGGCGCGCGTGCTGCGGCGCAGCCTCCTGGAGCGGCCTTGCAGCCCGCGCGGCCCCCAGCAGGGCCCGGGCAGCTGGATGCGGAGGTCCCACACGGAGAGCTTCGCCGAATGGAGTTCTGGGACGACGTCAGCTGGGACAGCCTCCATGAGCCCAGCGGTACCATTCTGGTGGTCCCGGAGGCGGTCCGCTATGCCATCGCGGACTTCCGGAAAGTGCTCTGCGACTCTATCCTGGCAGACGCTGGCGGCGCGGGCGAGAGCCGCGGCCTCAAGGCGCTCCTGTTCTCAGATCGCCTCCTCTTCGCTGCGTCGCGCAAGCGGCGTGGGGGGACCAGGGGCCAGAAGGGAGAGACAGTGGCGCGAACGCTGGCCAGAAGGATTCGCCTCCTCTGGGAGGGGTCGTGGGACATCCTTTGGCAGGAGGCGGAGCTTCCGCTACGCAGCGGCGCCGGCGCGGCCACCACGGCGGCGCAGGGCTTGGCGAAGGACGTGGCGTTTGAGGAGGCCTTTGCGGACGAGGACCTTCGGGACGCGATGCGGATTCTGGATGGGAGGCTGCCACTCGCGGCCCGCCGCTGCCTCCCGACGTTTTTCCCCAGAGCGGCGACGCAGCCTGACATCCTGGCGGTGCAACCCGCGGATGACGATGTCGACCGCTTTCTGGTGCAGCTGCGCCTGGCGTACACCCACGCCCCGAGACATCGCGGAGCGGGCCCGGGAGGCTCCAGAGGCGAACACTGGGCATGGATGCCTGGGCACGAGGAGGCTTGGGACAGCTTCGCCAAAGTGATCCTGAACCTGCAGCTCGGCAGGGCCCCGCGCGGCGCCGTGCAGGCTTGGCTGGGCGCGCGCGCGTCCTGGCCGGAGACCGGGGGGAGCGCGACAAGGTCCGGCCGTTCGCCCCACCGCCGGGCCGCCTCCAAGGTGAGCCGGGTGTTCCGGGGCAGGGTGGCGGCAGCCCTCGGCGAGTGCGAGTACTCCGTGGGGAACAACAGAGGGGCGGAGTACATGCACAAAGCGGCGCTGCTGGATTTGGGCAGCCGGCCGGAGTGCTGCAAGCTGAGCCTTGACGCCAGCAGTGCTCATAACGAGTACGACCGTGCGACAGCGGCGCGGGCTGCCCAGGCGATGCTCCCGGAGCTGCTGCCGTGAGCTCGCGGCGGCCTGAGCACGGCGGCCGTGCATGTGCACGTAGCGCGGGACGGCAGCCGCACGCTACTCCCCAAGGAGCAAGGAGGCGACCAGGGCGATGCTCTAACGAACCAGATCTTCCCACTCTATTACAAGCGCGTGGCAGAGTCTGTGGCGGCGGCGGCCGGGACGGGGGCCGAACCAGGGCGCAGCTATTGCTACCAGGACGACCTCGACGTCATCTGCGCGCTGGCGGTGGTGGCGCAGGCGG